GTATTAAATTATATAAATTATATATATTTGTTATATATTATTAAATAATTATATATTATTTATATATAGATAATAAAAAAGGTGTGGTATCTATTTTCATACCAGCACTACCCATGGACTCTTGTTCAGACTGACCCACTGTAGTAACCCCTATTTTAAAAAAAACCCCAAAACTGCCCAAACTGCTCTATAGGCTATATCTTTCTATGCAGTTAATTATTTTTGTCCAAATTTTGAGTTTGCAGTTGTGCCCATAGAAATTTCATCCTGTTTTTTTTCTGTCTACATCTTCCATTTGTCTGGTGATTCAGCAGATTTGGTGTACTCTCTTAAGTATTCTTTTCACCAAACATGATCAGTTAGGACTAGGGGTTCATTATGCCATACCCCAAGGCAGTTAAACCTGTACTTCATTTAAAAGGGTCTGGATTAGTTGTTCTTGGTTCTGTAGAAGCAGAGCCCTCTTTGTATGTGTCACTTAACACGCTGGTTTTTCAACACTTTTAAATATAAGCCTGAGGACAATATTTCTCTAAGCCTTTATTTCAAGAGTTAGTTGTGGTTTATAGGTCGTAAGCTTCCTGCCATTTCTTGGAGAATGTAGTAGAGAAGAACTTGAACCATTGGCACAAATAGATGGCAAGTGGAACAGAAGTCTTGTCAGTCCTCATTGCTGAGTGTTGCTCTAATGGCTCTCACAGCGGCTGTATTTGTGGTGGAAAGAAATACTTTCTTCTCATTTGCTTGAAGTATCTTTCTTGGGTGCAATTGCTTCACTCTTGTTAGTCAGATCTTCTGAGGGACTTGCACAGCCACAAGAAAATTGCTAGTTAAATTGAAGAGCATCACCTTCAAAATACTCGGCCAGCGAGTATTTTTTGACATCGTCTTCAGATGTCAAAAAGCTGCTGGCTGATGCTCATAAGTAGTACCTAAGCAGAAATTACTTGCACTGCTTTGCCATCTCTTCTTTCCCCACTTCTTTAATTCTGGATTATGCTCACCTTTTGTGTTGTTTGACTGGTGGACTGGGTAGTAGCTTTCCAAGAGAGCACTGGACTGCTTATAGTTTGTGCAGCACCTAAAGGACTTGCTCTGAACGACTGACATATGTATACCTATGGTATATAGGTATACCTGTGGCCTTTGGACTTGTCACAATGCAAATAATAGCAATGAAAAACTAATCAGTGGACTGAAGTGGTGGGAAGTTTTGGTGTGCAGTCATAAGAATTCAGTTGTGCAATGAAGGGTGAGAAGGGAAAATACCAAGAGAGGCACATGAAGGATATGATGAAGTTTAAAGCACTTGATCCTGGACGTACGGGATTGCATTTGCAAATTCATTCCTCGCATACACTATTCTTCTTCTATAAACTCTGATCAATTTGCTAAATAAGTTCTCCATAACAAGAAGATACCTTTCTGGTGAAAAAATAACCTGTAAAATACTAGGTTGTTCTAAATAAAGTTGAGCATAAGAAACTGTAATTTCTAAAGTATGCTTTTTCCTCAAGGATCAACAAATAATTCTTTGCTAAGCAATATAATTAATCAAGAAAAGAAGAGATTAAAAATTACCTGCCATTTTGTGTTGTCATCACTGCCTTTTTACTTAATGAAATGTTTGTTTGTATAACTACGTATGATAATATTTTTAGGCTGAATGAGTCTTTTATGGGAATGGTTTGCCTTTTTTATATATGAAACCATATTGACTTTAAGGAAAAGAGTCTTCTCGTTTGAGCAAAGACGTATAGGCATATTCTGTATTTTCTACTTCCTTCGTCCACTGCAGAACTTGTAAACTGATATGAAGCCTTTGAATTAACTGTTTATTATATAAACAGAATTAACTGTTTATATAATAAACTAGAAGTATTATCGTCAAAGATATTAAATGCAAAGATGAACTTAGCAGGGTTGCTTGCTTTATACGTGTGTGAAGTGTAATTGTTGATTTCAGTTTAGCTGAAGTATTTCAGCACTGAGGAAGCTGAAGCACAAGAGAATGTGAAGGTAACAGTTGTCAGCATTGCATACCTTAAGTAATCACATTTTACTTCCTAGGTTCTAGAAATATTGTCATGTAATCAAGGAAGTTTTTGAGGGGGGTTGGAGGGGCGTTTGTATTAGAAAAGAGGTTGGCTTCTTGACAAACTGTTCACAAGAACTTCACAGTTTTCCTAAACTGAAAATTTTTCTTTGAATAATTTATGAGATTATTTCGATAGTAGTTTGAGATACGGTGTATCTGTATTTGAGTGGCACTTGTTCCAATTGCAGCCCTGTTCACATATTTCCATTCATTCTTGTGTACGCCAATTAAAAAAAAAAAAAATCCCTAGTCTTTCTGACCAGATACCCACAATGAGTTTCAGAATACGTCACTGTGCTGAACTTTCTTTGAACGTATTTACAAGAAAATTCCTGGAGAAGAAAGGAACATAACCTTCATATAACCATGGGAAAAGCAAACGGCACAAGTACTCTCTTAAAATCCATATCCTCAGGATTTGGCATTTTCCATTACAAAACACTGAGTGACATCTTTCTGGTACTTCTGCATCCAGTTGATGGCAAACAATACAAATTTATGGGACGTGAAAACAAAACAGTTGGAGGCAGGGCAGGGATTTAATTTATGTTGCTTCTGTACGGATTTTTTTATGGATTTGCATGGATAGGGTTTATTCTCAGTTTTTTGTATAATGTAATAGGGTTCTTTGTTTCATTTGAAGGGGTAAAGGACCACTGAAGAACACATCTGATGTAATCAATGCAGCAAAAATGATTTCAGAGTCAGGATCAAGGATGGATGTCCTAGCACGGCTGATTGCCAATCAGGTAGGTTACTTATGTGGCAATGCTTTAACCTTTGTCACGGATTAATCCATCCACAGAACTTCCAACGCCTGAGAAGGTCACCGACAAAAGCGCTCACAACGTTTTTAGATCTACCTGTCTGATTGTCCTATTCTTCTCAATTTCCACATAGATGCTGTCTTAATTGTATGTGTGGATTCTCTGCATACATATTAATGTGTTTATATACACTTGCAAACACACAGAGATGTATGTGTACTTATATCACAGATATGTATGTATATATATTTATGTGCATCTGCATTGGTACATGTGTGTATATTTGTGAGCTCCTTTGAGCTATGAATGCAAGATTTTAGAGACATAATATATATGAATATATATTTATGTATGTATATATAAATATCTGTGTACACATTCATAGCTATTTTAAGCTATGAACGCAACATTTTAGATGCATAGTACAGTCCATTCTTGACTTCCTTGGGTAAATTACCCAGAAACACTTGAGTTGTTCCAGGTGAGTCAGCTTACACGTGGGAACCCAGGACTGTGGCATTGGCACAGTTCTGCTGAGCAGGCAGACTGTTTGGGACAGGTGCCAGGTCTCAGCACCACGCTTGGTAATGTTACTGATGCTTCTTCTCTATCTTTGAAATGGTTTTCCACCCTCATCTCTACATACGTTACAGAGCCTGTCCTGTTGCTGTACCTAAGTTATCTTTCCTATCTCTTCCCCCCAACACTGACCATTTTCTTGGAGCATTGATGTCAAATGGGTTTCCATGTAAATACCCTTCTGGATAGTCAGAGTTTTGGCCTCTGCATACCTGCAAGTCTCAAGGTGGTGGTGTGTTTTTTTTTTCTTTTTTTGCATTTAAAAGAAACACTTGCCATCATCAAATGTAAAGGGTTAGAGCTATAAGGTCTGCTTCATGGCCATTGGATTTTTATAGCATCAGGTAGCTCAAAAAGGCCCACCAGAAGCCCCAAACCAGGATCTACGTAAATGGCTAAGACATTTTCTTTTCCTGGCTAAGACAACTGCATAGTAGCTTAATAAATGGATACACCAAGTAACTTGTCACATGCAGCCCTCTCTAAGTGAGGTGCATTGATTTAGGGCCAGGCAGTGCCAGTAGGACAGTGTAGTGAAACGCTAGTGTGTAAGTATCACGTGTAAAGCATTTACATTCCTAGTTTTTGTGACTGCATAGGGTATCGTGCTATAGTCACTGCCTTCCACGCCCTCACATACTGTCGCCCTTCCCTCACTTGATTTTCATGTACAATGCTTGCTTTTTAATATCTATGAAGCAGCAACAGTCTGTGTAGTGTTTTCGGTCATACGAGACTCTGAATTCCAGATAACAAGACAAGGAATTTCTATTCTCCATCTATACAGTTGTGATTTGATGAAAAACTAGGTAAAATGTGTCAAGTCCCCATTTCTGATCTTGACAGATACTCTTCCAGCACATCTCTCTTTTCAAGAGCATTGGAGAAGGGCTCCTTTCAAGATTTTATGCACTACTACTATAAAGTAAAATTCAAAACCATAGCTTGTCACTGATCTATTGCAGAAAACAATGTGATGCCAAAGATGAGTAAAGGTCATAATCTCTTGTTCTTTTTAGAGCAGGGAATCCAGTCTCCCTGAAATCTTTCTTTCCTAAAGTTTTCCTTTTTCTCTATTATTACAGTGACTCCAGAGTAGAAACGTGAACAAATTACTGTCAGGCAAAAGTAGCCATGACTCATTGCCACTAATACGAGCGTAGTTAGTGTATATTCTCGTAGCTGCTGGGAAATGTGACATCATTGCTATGGTTATTGTAACCCTTTTACTGAATTCACTCAAATTATTTCCATTTGTCCTAGCTCAGAGCTTGCACACAGTTGATACCCTTGAGCCACCTGACCCCTGGTATTTATTCCCTGTGGCATCCTGCATGCATCTGAAATTCATTAGTCAGTGAATTTCATGGTGTATTTTAGATGTAACTTTACGTTACAAGCGCTAGAAGCAAATGAGCACATACAGTTTTATTAAAAAAAAAAAAAAAAGATGAACCAAAGAAGCCCTTCCAGTACCTCTGTGGTGAATACAACTACAGTGATTGCTAGACAGGTGTCAAACTTAGTAAAAAGGAGACTCTCGCCTTTACTCCTCCTATCACAAACATGCTTAATACGATCCCCTCATCCCTCAGATGGCTGGAAATCTTTTGACTTCTGTAAACTTTTTTCCCCATGACAAATCATCCTTTAACTTTCAGAGCTCTTTTCTCCCTGTGGGGTTGTTTTTTTTTATATCTCCAAAGTATTTGTAAAGACCAATAACCTTTTATCAGCTGCTACTTTGCCAAATTTCCTATGCCTTGCTGTCTTGGGGTCCTAAAACAAAAGAAACTTTACATTCCTGTGGGCTAGCTAAGAGCTGTTCTCTGAAGTTGGTCCAAACTGAAGAACTCTTCAAGAATTTGTTGCTCAGACTGGAACATGAATTCTGATGGGGTTTTATGAGTGCCTTTCTCAGCAGCATTAATACTTTTTAGTGGAGTATTTCACCTGTTGCCTTTCAGAAACATCTAAATTATGTGGAATTTTTATTCCATTTAAAAATGGATCTGTATGATTTGCTTCAAAAGTGAAAATAGATAGCTCTACACTGTACTGATTTTCAAGTAACTGTTACAGGTCCTTGCATTCTTCCTGCACATACTTTTCTTGATGCATTTTCACCACTTGCTATTGAGCTTAGGCTACCCTGTAAGTATTTGGTACCACTTCTGATACTGTCATTTAATTGGGCCACATCACTTTATTGTTCACAGCTGTCCCATGACTCAACTATTACTCTGCCTTTGCAGTTAACAGGACCACAGTAAGGTGTGATCGCATTTTCAGTATTCAAAGCCACATGCAAGGAGAAGCAAAAACCTTGCTCTGTTTCCCCAAAATAAGCAATCGCTGCATAATGAAGAATCATTGTCATATCTTTTTGACCTTTGCCTGTCATAAAACATCTTCAAATGAATTATTATGGCTTGTACTCCATGTAATGTCATAGATTCGAAATTGAGAACTGTGGAACTACATCGTTCATGAAATTTTTATGTTAGGGAAAAAGATAATCCACCCTGAAACTGTATTTGCAGTATTTTATAACTCATCAGCCACAACAGCACCTCTCTGATACGTTGTTCTTCTTTTCAGATTTTTATAAATCCGTCTTCCTGTGTTTGACAGAATGGGACTCGGTGTGGTACAATTAGCAGAATTCAGTTATATTTCAGTCCATACTCACAGCACTTTAGGATGACTCAGAGTTAACAACTGTGAAAATAATCACAGTACAGCATCAACATAAACCTAGGCAAAGTAACCACGAGTACATTGATAATAAATTTAAAGTAAGATTGTTTCAAATTCATTGTCATATTTGTGACCTGAAAGCCCTAAGATAATTAAGGCAGTTAGTACATCATGAGTTTAATGGAATGGAATTATTAACAGCCTCCTTGGCATTCCATTTGTTTTGCACCAAGAGGTGCTGGTCTGTTATGATCCCAATGGCAGTCAGACTCGGTGAGGTGTCATTTCAAATGCTATTTGTCAGAGGTAACACTAAGGAAAGAGCAGTGTAGGTAATGTTACATCCCTTTCAGTGGTGGGAACCCCAGGTGGTGTAGCATCGAACGGGCCTCTGATCCGCGCACAGCAATGCTGGGCAGACCCTGTCCACAGAAGAGATTCCCTCATTTTGGTCATTTGAGCTATTACAGAATTTTCTTATAAGGAGAGAATGCCATTAATCACTTCCACCATCAAACAGAATGTTCACATGAGAATTTCTTTCTGCAGTCCTAGATAAAGGTAAGGATACGCAGGTGGCCTAATTCCCAGTACCAAGTGGGAGTGGCACGGAAGCTCCCCAGCTGCCAGACATTAGCTGGGTGTGTGCCACAGCTGACTGCTGTGAGGGTCACTAACTCCTCCATGTACAGTGGTCTCTCAGTCAGGATCAATACATCAATGTGATAAAATGTTAATTACCTTTAAATCCCAGAGGTGTAAAGATCAATGTGACACATCTCGCTCTATAGAACCAGGCAGTCTCCTGACTTTGAAGCTGATTTCATGTACTTCAAAAAACTTTTCCTGAAAGTATAATTAAAAAAGCATCCTTTAAAAGAATTAACTGATAAATCTGGTCCGAGCAGATGTGTCAAAAACATCTTCTGGTTACAGGATCATCTTACCTAAAAGCTTACAATTAACAAATAGTTGCAATAAATTATACATTTATAGCAGTGGGTCTGTGTGTGATTATACCCAGTATTAATCACAGTGAAGACAGACTCAGATTCTAGAGAAATGCTACTGACTTCGTTGGCAAAGGAATGAAATAGAAGTAAAGCAAGAACAGGATTGTTAACAGTCAGAATTTCCTGCAGAATTGTTTGTTTTGATCTTTTGTGGCACTGCTGTGCCAGTGGCTTTTTCACTTGGATTGTGAATGTTGGTTTCACCGTGTTTTTAATCACTGCATAATTTATCAAATCACTTTGAGGTTTCTGTGGATATTATTTCTGTTAGGTAAAACACCACTGCCTCTTTCAGATGCAAGTCAGTTCTGATCCTGTTCTTACGGAAAGCTTTAGTTAAGACCCCACGACCTTCAATATGTATGGGAAGGAACGCCTCGTCATTTGCTAAGAATGTGAGGCATTAAACTGGTAACCATCCATTGCCTGTGGGATGATTAAACTCAGAATTTATTAATTGTCCTTCTGTTGCAGCCTAGTGTTCGGTTTCACTAGTAAGCAAGTGTTGCTTGTACCAGATGCTTCTGAGCAATATGTAGAGGATCCCTTACGGAATATCCTCTCTACAGAGTACGTTTCTTTCTAACATCTGTTTGTGGTTGATTTGGAAATGCTATAAGGCATGAAGCTTTAATTTTGTTGTACTACTTTATCCTGCTTAAAGTAGTGCAGAATGTTATCTTTACCCCTGTAACTGCCTCTTCTTTGTATTGTGTTTGTCCCTGCCTTGATGATATCATCTTGTAAAGTTTTATGGGTAAAGTACATAAAAATGAGCATGCTTGGTCAGACTGTAGGTTCGTTTAGGCCAATATCCTGTTGCTGACAGTAGTTAATAGTGAATATATACAGAACTTGGTGAGATAACGGCATATGTTTCTGATACTTCCACAACATGGTCTCCCAACCTTCAGCAGCCACTCAAGAATTTACTTAATCAAACATATGTTTGCTACACTTTGTACATTAAATAGTCCTTGATATTTTTTCATGAATTTGTCCCGTAATTTTTTTAACCCCTGTAAGCTTTTAGTGTAACCATTCCGCAACAAAGATATGTGCAACTTAGCAACATGGTGTTAAGAACCTCTTATCTCCTTTTGTTTTGAACTCATGCTAGTTCCTTTTAACGACCTCTTGGTTTTGTATTGGAGGAAAGAATACCTGTCTTCAGGAAAATCTTTATTGTCTTTTCCTTATTTTCTTACTTAGGTGCCTTGTAATGGGCAAGAGAGGGGAAAGATGCACCACACCTACACGGGGTAGTAAAGCTGTGGGTACACCACAGAGTTGTACAGTTGCAAATCAAATTTCTTTTTGTAGTAACACCTATGTAGCATTTGCTTTTTGAAATGCTACTGAGCACCAAATCAGTGTTTTCATAGGCTATTTTAACCTCAAGATCTTGTTCTTGAGTGGCAGTTTCCCGATCTTTGATGCATATCATCTTTAGCATTCCTAAAATGTTACACATTTCTTCTCTAATGGTGTATAAGGAAGATAGTAAATGTGACTGGCTGGCCAATATTATTATATAAAAGAGTACTAAATAATAATAATGTCAAAATATTCTTGTCTCTGAAATTCTGTAATTGACATTGTCACTATGTGAAGTGAATGAGGTACTGTATCAGCACCCTAGCTGCCCATCTCCGGAGTTTTCCGGTGGGGAAAAAAAATAATCACAGTGTATTTAAGAAGAGGAAAAGGAAAAATTGAGAAGCAAGCATCTCATTCCAGGAAATGCACCCTGTCTTGATATGATTAGGTGTGATGCTTAAAGGTATTACAGTTACATTTGACTGGAAGGGCAGATTTTTATTAATTAAAATGAAAGAAACAATGAGATTCTGACAGTTTTCTAGACAGTCACTGAAATACTAATATTTAAATAGTGATTTGAGTAGTTCTTAAAGCCCTGTTGAGTAAGAAAGAAACAAGACATATTTTAGTATAGTTTTCCTTAATACACTAACACTTTGAAAACATCATGCATAAGAAAGAGACGATATCAAGAAACTCTTCTATCTTTCTTCTAAATTATGCCAAAGTACAGAAGACATTTTAGTAGTGGATCTAGCAGAACACAAGGTAAGGACTGACATTAAATTCATTGATTAATTCGAAATCGCACTTGAATTTCTTCCTTAATCCTTGTTATCTTTCCCTGAGTCTAAAACATGAACTTGTTTGCTTAACCAAACTATTGCACAGTCATGAAAAGCAGAATCATCACACCCCCATTTTAAACAAGTATCAAGTTTCTTCAGCAAAGCCTGTAGTTTAGGGAAAGTAATTCATGAATTAAGTAGAACTGGTGCTTTTTCTGACTTCTAGCAGGTTTTGGATTTAAATCACTACTGCATTGACCACAATTCGTAAGACCAAAGGTTTAAAAACTGTACAAAATTGGATGAGCTTTGCCACTGCAGTTGGTGAGAACGTATCTTTTCTTTTTTAATATACAAAGCTGAACACAATTTCCTATCAAAAGAGGGTGACTACATTTATAATGTAAGTACAGCACACAGGCTAAAACCATGTCTCCGACAAACCGTAAGGATCTATTTCTTATTTATCATGCTCACTTTTTAGAGCTGTGGTAACACGATAGGGAGTCACCATTCACCTTAAGATCCCTGTATTATGCCAGAGCAATGAAAAGCAGCTTTGGAACAAATGCATTCCAGGTGTTAGGTGTCCAGCCTGGTATTGACAGCGCACTAATTCCCCTCCAAGTACTCCCAAGTATTTTGAGAGTTCACAGAAGTGAGGGTAGAAATACGCTATTTTTATAAAAAAATACTGTGTTGAAAGTATTGAAATCAGTGAGTTTTCTGTAAGACGTTCTTATTTTCTTTTTCCCACTGATACAGAAGATCTGTGGATTAAGTTGAATATCAACTCTGGATAGAACATTAAAAACCACAAATTGTATTAAAAGATAAAGCATAATTTGATATAAATGTTAACATTGCTCTGCATTTATGTTTATATTTGCCCACATAAATATTGCTTTTAATCTTCTTAAAAAGAAATCGTAACTTCTTAGGAATTGAAGGGTGAGTGATTATTCTATACATTAAAGAATTTGTTTAGAAATATTGCTAAGGCAAGCCGAGCACTGTTAAATAAAAAGTGGAATATGGGGAAGCTTAGGATTGTTCTGAGCTTCTCCAGTTGTTTTGTTAAAAAGCGTCACAAGAGGAATGAACCACGCAACCTGATCTGTAGCTGCAGTGAAAAGCAAGGCTACACTCACTTAACAGTTTGAACAGTCAGTGAAATACTAACCTGATGTCTGAGAGAAGTTACTGAAATGCGTTATTAATTGTTCTTCATCTTCAGTGTCCAGACCAGTCATGCAAACAGGATTTGCTGGCTTACCTCGAACAGATCAAGCTGTACTCCCATCAGCTCAAAATCTGCAGTCAAGTTAAAGCAGAAATCCAGAACCTAGGTGGAGAACTCATCATGTCTGCTGTAAGTAGAATAGTATAAATTACTCCTTTAATCAAAATAAAGCTTGGATTTGAGTTGTGCTTTCCTGTGCTTGTGAGATTCAGAATAGTCCTGAATCTTGTTTTATTCCCCACTGGTTTTTACACTTGCTTAACACAGAATCTTAAGACAGTGAAGCACAAGACTGGTGGCTTAAAAGGAACAGCAATCATTTTGCCTTTTTTTTTTCCCCCTTTTAAATTCTCAAAACATATTATTCTTCACTGTTATTCTGGAGTAATGTGTTTTTAAGAACTGTAACTGTTTTTAAGGTAGGGGTTTGTATTACTTAAATATATGGAGTACACATGTATATGTGTATCTATACACAAAAAGAAGTTCTCAGAGATATAGTTCTGATTCAGAAGAAAATGTTGAAGGACATTCTACATCCCTACAGAAATAAAGAAAATTAAGAGCAAGGTGACTTGATTCTTGAGTGGATTTCTTGATTTTGCATTAATTTAAGAGTTATTAGCTCCGTTACAGCTAAGTATCATTAGCCATGGAAAAGGTACTGTTTATGCACTTCTTCTCAGCACAAATCTGATCACAGGCATTCATATAACGCCTTCACCTTCACATATTCTTTGATTATTAGTGCTATTAACTGTAGCATATGGGATGATGATTTCACAGCATAAAATCTGCTAAATGGTACAAAAAACAGGTAACAAAAGCTTCCCACCCCACATTCTTAACATGTAAATACTTTCCTCTTTGTGATAACTTCACATTCACATAGTCTGGAATATAAATATATATAATCAGTAAAACTACTACTACATTTTATATAGTTTATAAACTAACCAGAAATGAACCCTCTGATGTGAGATTTGAAACAATGATTTTTTTTTAGGATATTTCTGTTGGCTATTCAAATAACAATTCAGAGACCATATTTAAACCTCTGGAACCTACAGATAAGTAATTTTGAATTGAATGTATACCTTCTGAAGCAAACACTTGTTTTCACTTGGGTTGTAAATTAATGAGGTTTTTATCTTCATTATTAATTTCTTCTTTCTTTTTACAAGCAGTGTGAGTTAGTAAAGCCAGATGTCATTGTTTCTTGCCCTTTGTGCACGTGTCCTCTGCTAACAAGGCTCTCAACTTCTCCATATTGTCTGTAACCTACCTCCAGTGGTTTCACGCAACAGAAATCCACGTGTCCCTCTGTGCTTAGAGACCTTGTTTCAGTACTTCATTCTCCCAGTCATGCACATAAACTGTTCACATCTGTTTGAGTACTCGTGCTTTTTACCCCAACTTCTGTGCTTCTAACGTGCTCCCCCTGATGGTGATTGATTGATAGAGAGAGCGAGCCTTGAATCTGCCATAAACCTCCCCCAAAGTCCCCTACAGCTGTGCAACAAGCAGCAGTGCTGCAGATAGTGATGGTGCACAGCCCATGCTGACAGGCTGCTGGCCACCCACTTGGAGCCAACAAGAATTGGTTTGTCTCTCTTTTGCTCTCTGGGAGCTCTCATTTGGGACTCTTGTTCTCTCTACAGTCTCTTGATTTTGTGATCTGGTAGAGATTTGTTCTTTGTCTTCGGTGTTCTTCTGTCTCTGTGAAATTTGGAAATCAGAGATTAGCTAACTAGTAAATTAAAAAAGTTAGTGGAGGACTGACAAGTGAACAAATGCACAACACAAATAGATAAACCTTACTTGCTTAAAAAACTAGTTAAAAGATACAGCTTCTTGCACATTGCAGCGTACATCTAATTTGAATTGTCCACTACTTTGGCAAATTTGCAGTCACATGGATCCTTGACCTATAAATATCTGCATACTGCCTGATATATATGATCTGTAATTTTCCTGGTCCTGTTTCCATTACTCAGTGCAATTGATTGGTGGTCTCACTGCAAGAAATCTTGGAAGCCTAGTTTGGTTGTTGCTCTTTTTTTCTCCTACTGTAATGATACCCATTGTTTTCTTCACCGTTTTATTGTGCCACCCATACATCAACAGCGGAAAGTACATAACCCTGGTACAAAAATTTACTTATCTTCAGTCGTAATCCCAGAGGGATGACTATAGATCTTACCCCTGTTTCAAGGAAGGAAGATGAAGACATACCTTGTGTGCATCCAGAAGTTCCATTCAGGAAAGCAATTACTTGTACAAATAAATGCTTAACTCAGACCCAGTTCAATAAACACACTTAAACAACAGGAGCTTAGCTTAGAGTCAGTGGAAATTAAGAACATGCTTAGAGTCCTGGACAGTTTTGGAAGTGTTTTGTGGAGTCAAGGTGAGATGCTGTAAATTCTATTTGTTATTCTGTTAAAGCCATCTTGGAAAATGCTGCAACTGCAATGGTAATAAAAAAAGTCTCACTGGTAAAAATATATCTGTTATTGGGAAGGGGAGGGAATTCATGATTGACTGTCCTCTTTCTATGAAAATTGTGGTTATGTGAAAATGCAACCAAACTAAACTGTGATAGCTTTCCTATAAGGCTTGTCCTTATCTATATGTAAATGAACTGTTTGGTTTTGACTTGATTCAATTATAGGAGAATATGGGAATTAAAAATACACTGTATGGATAAAGTGATAAGCAAAAAGGGAGAGAAATTCACTACTAATACAAAATGGCTGTTACTGAATTGTTTTTTTTAAAAGCTGGAGCAAATTCTGTCTTTGAAAGTCCACCTGGGGGCTTTAGAATTTTGATTATGTAGGTTGGCTGGCCTTGGAAGAAGTGACAAAATAAGAAAGCCCAGAGGTTTGCTCTCTCCTCCCATCTCTGAGACACATGTGCGCATGCACACAGATCTGGGAGCATAGTAAGGAAAAAACCTCCATAGAAAACATGCAGACAGAACATCTGTGTCCTGATTATCTTGTCAAGTATCTGGTCAAGCAGCTGAATTTCACTCTTCTAGCCAAAAGGGGTTTTTATGGTTTATGCAACACTACTAAATCTTCCGATTTTGCTCCCATAAAATCAATAGCAAAGTTCTTTTTTTCAAGGAGTCAAAACTGTAGCTGGAATAGGATTAAAATCTCCCCAGTCCTGATCTGCTCTCATTTATCTGTTCATACTAATAAAGAACGAGAATCGGAAAAAGAGACATCGGGCATGATTAACAAAAAAAGGGGGCATGCCCTTGCAGATAGTGAAGTTTTTATTATGCATTAAGTAAAAAAATTGTGTCTCAAAATATCTGAAACTGTATCCTTTGTTTGGATAGTGAAGATCTCCTACAGGAAAAAGTGCATTAGAAAGAAAGAGCATTAGGAAATAAACATACTTACAGGTTGCTCCGTTTTTCACTGTTTCCCTGCAATTTCTCTCTTCTGTACCCATGTACATGTATGCTCAGGATTGAACTACCTGATTTCTTGGTCATCCCTCAGCTGTCTGTTGTTGGCTTCTCACAGTTCCCTTCTGCTATCTTCTGTCTGCCTCACCAGCTGTGAGAGGTGTACGCAAGCAGAGAGCGAAGGAGGAAAGCTCCTCTCCTGTGAAAAATTAGATTTCCGCAATCAGATGATTAATACCAGCTTCCACACCAGCAAGTCAACTTTGCTGTACAAAGTGAGAATGATTGAGCAAAAGCTGGTAACAGATCACAAATCCACACATAAAAGCACTGTTCTACAGATGTAAGATGGCACTTAGCACTTATATCCACCTCACACTTCCCTTCCTCCAATAGTAAGAATTGTGCACAAGGATCTCTGATTTAAATCAGCCCCAAGGAATTTTCAATATTTTTTCTCACAAGAAGAGTAGTAGTTCATGAAAAAAAATCCTCTGTTGAAGCCTAAAGACCGAGTCAGAGGGAGGAAGAGCAGAGCATGTAGTCTTACTCCATCACATACTTGTAGATCTGTAAAAGAAAGAACTGTCTTCTTGAAATAGAGCTAAGTCACAACATCTGTCTTAACCAGTATCTTCTTTCCAGATGAAGCTCTGGAGGAGAAAGTGAATATAAAATGGCATTACAGATTAACCTTATATACTAGTATCTAACAGTGGCCAGCAGTGCCATGCTATAAGGGCGCCTTTACCTCCGTCAACAGGAAAATGGATTCTTACCTATTTCTATAGTGGTTTTTTTTTTTTTAAAGTACTTTAAGCACTGTACTTAAGGAGGTACTGGTGACTGCCAGCATAGTTCCCCTGGGGACTTATTCCCATGACAACAAAGAGCATCATGTGTATGAAAATGTTGTAATCCACAAACACAGCTCATAGTCATTCATTCTCCGTATCACATTATCTTCTTTGGTTGTTTTTAATCTGTGTCCTTGTGCCTTCCTCTTCCCTCTAATGCCTCTGACAGCCTCCCCTGGCATGTTTCTTAATACCCCTGCCATATCATTACAGTAAGTTAAATAGGCCGGTTTGCCTGCGGCAGTTGGAATGCTTCAGGGAGTATCCAGCTGGTAGTGCTCCCGATTGCTCTCCTCAGTTACTGGCTTTTTGACTCTTACTACAGTTCCATGGACACCTGCCTTTCTCCCTTGAGCTCTAGTGTCCTTCTCCTAGTCAGTGGCATGCTAATGCTCAGAGTTCCAGTTATGGTGGTTACAAAGAGTCAAGTACAGAAAAAAAGAGGAAGTGTGTATCATGAGCTTCTAATTCTTCATTCACTGTGGTTTTGTTTTTTCACTCATTAAAAATTCATTGATCAGTATTTAGTCTTTCATGCTCCCATAAAATACTCCAATTTTTAAATAATGCAGCTAGCATTGCCAATTTGTAAGCTGCACAAGTACAAATGGTGAGGATTCAGAAATCTTCACTAGGTGTGATTAAACAGGAAACAGACAATTCCTTCCATTAATTAGAATTAATTTGTGCCTCTTCAGGCACAAAATAATGGGGTAACATTTACAGTGTGCAGACTGACAGTAATTGCATTCAGTTATGTAGATAATCAGATATAATTCGTTTACAAGTACTGCACAATGATAGGTTTGCACGTTGACAGCTTGCTTTTTTTTCCCAACAGTGGC